ACAGGGTGTCCCAATAAACATGGGAATTCAGTGACGAATTCGATATCGTCTTTTTAAATAATTCTTTGATTTAGTATAGTGATACCAACTGAGAAAGCTTTAATCTGTAAGAGTTTCGTCTTCTATGTTTACATTTTGTTTGTTTATGTTTTGACTGTATACTGTTGTACTTAGTAAAACAAGAAAATTGCAGTATACAAACAGAGTAAACTTGCCCGTCTTCACTGTTCATCTTGCAGAGACATTATAGACACATCTTTACAGTCTTTTACCCTTTTCATAAAATAAACTCTAGCAGGCATAATAATATTATGGCTTTTGAAATTAGGTATTACAATGCTAATTCATAACAAAGACGATATACAATTCGTCACTGAATTCCCATGTTTTTTGGGACACCCTGTAAGTAACAATGAGAGGAAGATATCGTTGTTCAGAGACATCAGAAAGACTTTACAAAATGTCGTCTTGACAATTTTTTAATCGGTTTATACTTTAATACCTAAATCTCAGTAATTATAAACATAAACAAATAGCCATGAAATATGCGGAACAGTTTTAAAGAGCTCAATATAATTATTCAATTAGAAAAGTAAATATCTGCAGCATTCCATTCGTAGGTTAAAAAGACGGCATTTTATTTATTCTTTCGATGTCTCCAAAGTTTTGGGTTGAATTATATAAAAACGTGTTGATGTCTGTTAATTTCCTTGGTTTTTCTGAAACTTAATTGGGAAATTTAAGACACTAGAGAAGCCACAATTGAAAATATTTAATTCTTATCTAGACCGTTAAGGATATCTTGTTCATTATTGAATAGAAAAAAAGTCTAAATAGTACCCAATTATTATTCGGATATGGACCTCAATAAATTGAAGGTTACTTGAAATTATGTTTACAGTCCCTTTAAGCGGTTAGGTCCTTTGAACTATGTGCAAAAATAACCTTTAAAGAAGTTGTTCAAACCCTTGCTTTACGCTTTAATCTCAACATTTTATGGGCAGTCTAATCTTTCATGTCAAATATTACATTACACATTTAAAGGTGTCAGGAAAAAAAATTCAAGTTTAGAAAAACAATTTTAGACTTTTTATCTTCCTGTGAACACGGTCTATCGGCAAATGTAGCAATTTCGATATCTGCTGATGTTTTGTAACACCCACTTTAGTAAAATGTCAAATTTAACCGTTTTGCAGTTCTACAGTCGGACAAAAAATGCATTTTGGATCATAAAACTAAATTTGCCACAAATGCCATTGGAAAATAACTATTTATAACACTGATGCTTATTTTGGCACGACGTGCTAGAAAGTTCTCGCCTTTTTAGATTCTAAAAACTAAAAAGGCGAGAATCTTTGAGATATAGAGAAAATTGAAGTCCAAAAACTTTATAGCACATTGTGCCAAAATAATAGTGATATAAGTAATTCTATGAAACGTTTGTGTACTTGTCTTAATTCAATGTCTGTTACTAGATCAAATAAGCTTTGAAACAAAGCAGAAGTCAACATATAAAGTTGATTTCAATTTTATTTTCTTTCAATTGAAAAAAAATATTTTGTAAATATCCTAAATTTTTTGGAGAAAATCCGGGAACCAATCAAAAATGTTTAGCACACGTGCTACTAAGTACAGCTAATTTAAAATTATAGCACGGTGCTATACAGCTAATATAACTTCATAGCATGATGCTTTATACTTACGATGCACGTTCATTATGAAATTCACGATGAACTGACTAAGAATGATATAGTACACAATAGTTTCATAAAAAAATTTTGCAGACTGAATTTTATCTGACAGAATTGTAATGACTGAGGACTTTGTTTTAGCTACAATTTAAAAGAATTTGATGCCAATCTTTATTTGTAAGGTGTTAAACCAACTTTTAAATTTTTTTAGTTGTTTGATCTTACAAAATTCATAGGTTGAAATACATTAAGAGTTTATCACAAAGGCTCTGTTCCTTTGTTTTGTTATAATTTTTAATTAAAAATTGGTCCGGCTTGGAACGCTATAAAGAGAGGTATCGTTATAACCATGGTTATAATGCAAGGAATTTTAATTGCAGTAGCGTATACTTTGCATACATATTGAAACCAGTTCTCTCTGGGCGGAATTTGTAAACAAGAATAGATGCATCAGTGTTCGTTTAGTATCCGAGAAGGTTAAAAGCATTAAATTTTGATAATTTTGATAACTCACATATTAGTTTCCTATGACCAGAATATTTCATTGATTTTTATGTGAAAGATGGATCTCATGTCAGACTTTGACATCCGTCTTGTGTTTACATTACCCCCCAGAGACAGTACACTGCAGTACAAAACATGCGCACACTTCTGCAATAACTTTCCTTGCATTACAATCTTGGTTATAACTCTATTTTACGTCGATGCGCTCAATTCTGAATTCAATCTGCAATGAAATGCATTTTTTTCTGCACCCAGGCCTGCAATGCAATCTCTATTTCTTGCAGCTGCACAATGCAGTTATAAAGTTAGGAATGCATTTTTGCATTCCGTCTTGTTTCCTAAAATTGCATTAATGCATGTGTGAACATTGTGCACGTAGTAATTTTTTAGCATGCTTAACTAACATTAAGATCACTTGAACATTGAATTATTTTCTTTTCACATCTTGAATACAGGGTTATCCAAAAAAGATGGGACTATATTGTTATTAGGAATGTATTACCAAAATTAACACGTAAATTGTGCAAGAGTTTCATACCGCAATTAAAAGTTTTGTATGTACATATTCGTGTCATTTTTTTTATCAAATCTTTTTATTGATAGTTTGAGATGTTGACATATCTGGATACAAATTTACACCTGATTCTTAAACCCCCCTCTCTACATTTTGTGTTTTAATGCGTTTATAAAGTGTCAGTTTACTCTCTCACTGTTCATCTTACAGTTAGTGTTGAGGGGCCTTCATGTCAGTTTCATCTTTCAAGCCTGGTTCAATTCGGGGTTTTATTTACAAATCAACCTTCAGTGATCTTAGAATTTTATTGAACACATGTCATCGAAGGAACTTAAGAATAAATTTTTTAAACCAGCAATTAGTTTTCAAGATCCTCCAATGACTTTTTAATTAAAATGCATGCTTTTTTATAAATATCAGATGTTTTGAGTAAATTTTTTTAAGTTAATTTTATTCTTTTTTTGCACAAAAGACAGCACTATGTATTCAAAAAAGAAAACTTTTTTTTGGATACATAATTTTGACCCTGACAATTATGTAAAAAGAGACAGATAAATTTTTCCATTAAATATCAACCTTTTTGTTCTCTTCTTTCATAATTCAGCAAATGTTCACTCTTTATTTCTCACACTTTTTTCTGTCCCTAGACCACGTAGTAGAGAGTTCCCGGTCAAGAAAGCGGTCAAAGTCCCAACAGTCCCGGTCAAGAAACTCAAGCAAGGACTCTCGCAAGTCCAAGTCCAAGTCAAATGAGTCGTATGAGTCTCAGCCTGAGTACATCAATATAGAAAGTCTGAAATCTGGATCAAAAAGTTTAGTCCAAAGCAAAAACAGATCACAAAGCGCTAATGGAACAAACTCTGATTGGTCCGGATCAACTAAAAACAATTTTGATTGCTCCCAACAAACTTCCTCCAACAACTCTGATTGGATAGAAACAAAAGCTGATCATGAGATTCAACCAAACCATAGTTCTGATTGGTCAACACAAAATTTGAATAAATTTGATCATAGTAGAAATAATTCTAACCTTCAGGATTATCCTAACTCTATACATTCTATTAAGAATAGTGAAGATTGGTCCCCCCGACCCAAACTGACCAATGCTATAGGTCCTGATGATTGGTATAGGGATGATTTTGATTTCAACAAAAGTCATCCTTTTATGGACGACCCTGTCCTTCTGAAGCAGTATGCTCAGATTTTAGACCTGAAATACCGAGAATCCTCGAAAGAGAAATTAGAAGAAATCTTGCAAAACCCTCAACTTTTACAACCTGCTGAGTTTAAGATGAATATGTATGAGAGAGATGGTTTAGAAGAAAAAGATAGTAAAAGGAATCCAGATCAAGGATTTAGGTATCCAGACAGTGGTTATGACACACTTCAGATGAGTTTAGATGCAGAAAGACAGAATGTGTGTGTTGATATTCAAACTGAGGAGCCTGTGGTTTTGAGGCGGGAGGGAAAAAGAAGAGAGGAGAGGAAAGTTCAAACGTGGCATTCCAGAAACTTTTCAGAATTTCAGCTCATGGAAAAAGAGGAGTCTACTGTACTACTCACAATCCAGGGACATAACTCAATAGAAGGGGCCAACAAGCGGAGCCCTAGAGAAGACAAGGTTGCCTGGTCTCCTGGAAAAGTCTATCAGGAGATTAGAAAAGAGAAAGAGGCCCCTCCTAAGAACGTTGTGAAGGAAAGATTGAGAAGTTTTGAAGCAACCCATGAAAATCCACAGGCAGAGCTGCAACAACCTGTCAAAGAAGTTAGAAATTTCAGGCCTCGCTCTAAATCTGTAAATTATAGCTCAGATGACAGTGATTATGAACACATAGATGAGAGGAAGTTAGAAAAGAAAAAGTCAGTGAAAGACCTTCTTTCAGATTTTGAGAGAAAGAGCAAGGAGTTACAGGAGAAAGAGGAAAGTTACAGAGGAATTGGGAGCTACCTCCTTCAAGATTCCAAGGAGCCAGATAAAAGAAGAGTGTTTTCTGACACAGAAACCCTAATGTATGAAACATCAAGTGATGATGAAAATTTTGATGACAAGAAAAAATCTCATGGGAAGCATAAACCTTCAGTTCATGTTGATGAAAGTTTTGATAAAACAAAGAAGAAAGAAAATGAGATTATATCTTCCCCTCCCCCTCTACCACCCAAGAACCTACCCCCCACCATGCAAGAAAACTCTCCATTCCAGCCTTCTTTATCCAAGGAGGTATTTAGGATACGTCCTATCAGCGCCCAGGGTCAAGATCAACCTGGAGAAGAAGTTGTGACACCTACAATAGGTACCTCAGTAGTAGAGGATACATATCTAGCAATGACACCTTCCAAGAGCTTGTCATCTCTGTCAGGAACCATGGGGCGGAAATCAAGTTTAACCCTTCTTTCTAGTTCACACAACAGTAGAACTTCTTTAACTTCCAGCCATGGATCTTCTCAATCCATCACTTCTCAGGGGATGCCAAGGTTTGGTTCAGAGAAAAACCTTGGTGCCATGACTCCCACTGAGGCCTTGATACAGTCTGCAACTGGATCAGTCAACCATAGCCGAACCCCTTCTCAGACACTTGTCATGGAACATCTTCAACATGAGGTTTGTCATTTTGAAGAAGAAACTTATGTAGATATGAATGAAGATGGATCTTTTATTAGAACTCCACGTTCTAGTGCAAAAGAGCCAATATTAGCTAAGCAGTATAAAAAGGAAAATCTAGATACAACTTTGACTGGAGATTCTCCAGAAAGCCCACGATATTGTGAAATTGAAGATCCAAATGAAAATGCTCATTATGAATATTTATACAAAGCTAGAACTCCTAATGCACCTCTTTATAATGAGGACTTATACCAAGAAATAGAAGATCCTGGAATTGAAATATCAGGAACTGGAACCATCAGGGAGACCAAGAAGAAAACAAATAAGAAGAAGGAACCTGAACCTTTGAGACCTATCGAAGGGCTTCCAGACATTCTTGGTAATGCGCCAACTAACAAAGGAAACAGTTCATCCGATGCAGATGATGAGTCATCAAAAGATTTTGACATTGAATTAAAGGTTCAGCAGATGATTACGCTTGACGATTCCTTCCGACCTGCATCATTTTACTTGAGCCACTCAAAATCCACCACTAATGAAAATGAGGGTGATTCTTCAGATTCTGATTTAGTTTCTCCGCCTCCAGTTCCCTCAAGTCCTCCTCCAATGGAAGAAGTACTGGGATATCACAGCTCAAGCAACTTGGATCAAATTAGTCTGAACAACATTCTTCTTTCAGCTAAATCATCATACTCTGGTAGAATGAGAAGAGAATCACAAGAAGATAAAAATCGTAGACCATCTGTGAGTTCTAGAACTTCTCAGGGCTCTCAGGGATCTCTAATCAATGGTTCCCAGCAGAGCCTAAACCGCGATCTAAGTACAATGAGCCCTCATCGCATGCATGGATCTCATCAAAGTCTTAGCTCTAGAGAACTTCCTCCAATCCCTGGACAAAGTCTTCTTGGTTCACAACAAAGTTTAGCAAGCAAAGAAATTCAATTAATTGGTTCCCGAGGCGGCACTGTTGAAAATTTAGAAATGTATAGAAACTCCCCCTATCATTCCCGTGAAGGTTCTCTGGACAATGAAATGTTTCTTTATCATCGGTTTACACAAGGTTCCTCTATAAGTGATCCATACAGAAAACATAGTTCAGATGAACTAAGCTCTGATACTGCTCTATATGAACAGGAGTACAGAAAATACCACTTAGAAAATATCCAGGAGGTGTCAAACACCCTTGAACGAACTGATTCTGGGTCCCACAATACAAGTGTCATCAGTCAGGATCTTAATATATCTTACAACAGTGTGTATGACAGCAGGCTTCAGCAATCCAAGGTTTATAAGATTGAAGACCATCCTGTGTTAAAGAAAAGAAAATCATTGGATGAGAGGCAAAGTGAAACTGGCACAGACCAATCTGTAATTGAGATGGATGAGAATCAGGAAGAATTAAGTCCACGCTCTAAAATCCCTTATTATGTCTCTGATATAATGGAAGAAGGAGAGATAAGCAGAGTAGATTCACCAGGAGAGCGACTTGTTGATGCTATCACAAAATCAATGAATGCCCTTGATGTTGAGTCTAACAGTTACTTTGAGAGCAAAAATGATGCTGAAAATGAGAGAATTAGAAAACTAAGGAGGTCGTACACTCCAGATCCATATCTCTCAAAACCCATTCTTAATGGAACCCCTGTTGAGCAAGAAACTCCTGCCAACAATGTAAGCAGATCAAAATCATTGGAAGGACTGCTGGGAGATAGCCAAGGAAGTGCACGGGATAATCTTGGATATCCAACTCAACCCAAGGTTTATTCACCACACAACTTCAATGATATATCCTCACAACCTCGACCTGCTCGAGGTCATCAGCCTCCTCCACCACCTGTGGATGTCCCACCTCTGGATATTCAGCCTCTGTCCTCTTCAGTTCTGCCTGTAGAGGACAAGGATAACTCTGTGGATGATGATGCTTGGGCAAACACTTTGAGAAGAGCAAGTTTAAAGCAGCAAAGCACTAAATCTCCAGTTGACCAAAACATTACAGCATGCAGCACCACATCAGCTGAAAGAAATATATCTAATGGATCAATGCCAAGAAGATATGAGGATCAGTTGATATCAGATGCAGGATATAAATCTCAACAGTATAGAAATGAACAAGGAAGGCAGTCTGTCCCAACTGTTATGAATGAAACTGTTCAACAATTTGTTTACCATAGTAGCACTAATGGACGCCACTCTGTAACACCTCAGTCAAACTTCAGAGGTTATACTGAAGAAACAGTTAGGCAATCACATTCCATGGTTAGAGAACACCGTGGTAAGCTCCCACCTCCAACAGCCCCAAAACCAAAGACTCCAGTTCATTTTGAATATCCTGGATCTGTTCAGGAACCAGTTAAAAGAAATGCTGTTTACAACCATGAAGCACAAAGGCAGTCTGTAGTATCCCCAGTTAACTACTCTCAGGAGTATCCAGTGACAAATTCTAGAAATTTTTTAGAGCACGGCCTCCCCAGTCCTTCATCTAGCCAGGGGTTGGGGAGGTTGGAGGGGAGTCAAACCCTTCCTGCGAGAATCAGGTATTCAGATAGCTCTGCCCGGAGTTCCCTGGACCCAGAGGAGTCTCCGAGAACAAGTAAGAGTGGATTACAAGATCCTGCAGCTCCAGTACCACCCTCACCTAGAGACTCTTTGCACTCTCAATCCTTACCAAGAACACCGGAGAAAATTCATCAATCCTTCCCTCAACATGGAAATCTTTTTACCCCTCCCCGGGGATATCCATCTCAAGAATATTTAAGATATCAGGATCAGCTTCAAGACTCACAGGAGCACTTATCTTTAAGTAGAAACTCAAAGACAAGTTTGCAAGGACATCAAAGCATAACAGGTGAATGGGTTTACATAAAAAAGACACTGAAACAATAGAAATATATATTATGAGGATCATAGATAGTAAATTTAGCTTTCTTTTTCTCTAAAACATATTTTATTTTGTATTATATTAAATTTTACTTTTTACAACCATGCACTTACTTATATAGAATTAGTTTTAATATGCACTTACTATCAAGAAATAAACACGAGGAACCTTTGTATATGTGTTAACAAAAAAAGTGTACTGCAATTTTTAGGTTAATTATTTAACAGTGAACAGCTTGTGATTATTATTTTTTCTCTAAAGCTGTATTTCATATTTTTAGTTGATTAAAAATTGGGTTTAAGATGTATCTTCATTAAAAACTACACCTTTGTTGTCGTTTTATAATTATATGAAGATTTTAAAATCAAAAATATTATATTTTTTTATGTCAAATTATAAAGTATATCTGCAAAGTGCATTTATATCTTAAAAAATTATAAAATAGTAAATTTACACTCAAGGGTTTTAAATAAAACTAAGCTCCTGCCACAATCTCCAATTTTCTTATCCCTTTATCTTTGTAACCTGACAGTGCAATCCTTGGATATTTCGCCCTTAGACTATTTGATCTAACAGGGGTCTTAGGTATTAAGTTGCAAGAATGTAAGGGATGTAAAGAATCAGACTATGTTACAAGAACTCAGTTCCTTCAGTGGTTGATTATAATAAATCCATACCCTACGGGTTCAGGGTTAATAATCAGCCTAACCCTGTATGTTCTGGGAAATAAGTACTATTTCTAGATGTCCCTGCAGCCCCTGGAAGGACAAGGAGAAGGAGTCTCAGCTCTAGCAGGAAGTCTCCTGATCTCGATACTTTGAAAAAGGTGAAAATTCCAAAACAACTTCTACTCTTCCCAACCCAATTTGACCTTTTCCCTTTTCCAATAACCTACGAGTCCCACTTTCTACCATGAAATAGTTTTAACGCAAATTTGAATTAGCCTAACCTAACCCTAAAGTTTGGGGGCAGTATGAGTAACTCTCAATTAAGCTAGGGGCATGTCTGATTTACAAAGGTACCCGTTAAATTTGTTTAATAACACTCCTTGAACTGTGTCTTATTTTAGCAACTCTCCATTCTTTCTGTAAGTAGAAATCCACGAGTCACATTTCTAGAGAAACCCCAATCTACAGGGTGTCCCAAAAAACATGGGAATTCAGTGACGAATTGGATATCGTCTTTGTTATGAATTAGCATTGTAATACCTAATTTCAAAAGCCATAATATTATTAGTCTGCTAGAGTTTATTTTATGAAAAGGGTAAAAGACTGTAAAGGTGTCTATAAGTGTCTATAATGTCTCCGCAAGATGAAGCGTGAAGACGGACAAGTTTACTCTGTTTGTATACTGCAATTTTCTTGTTTTATTAAGTACATCCTTATGCAGTCAAAACATATTCAAACAAAATGTGAACATAGCAGACGAAACTCTTACAGATTACAGCGTTTTCAGTAGGTATCACCATAATAAATCAAAGAATTATTTAAAAAGACGATATCGAATTCATCACTGAATTCCCATGTTTATTGGGACACTCTGTATTAAAATTCCATTAAACAGAACCTTTGATAGCTCGAAAAACCAGTCAAAGCTTTTAAGGATAATATTAGAAATCTTTAAGGAATCGTTAATCCTACACAATAAATGGAGATTTACATGAAATAACATTTATAGTCCCTATAACAGCACTGAATTAACCTAACCTAACCCTAGAAGCTGGGGGGTAGTTTGAGTAATATGACCGCTGGTGACCTCCTTGGGAAAACTCAAGAAGAACTGGTTCTGCTTCTTATTCAACTCAGGAGGTAGGCTTAAAGGGCTACACTTCAATCACAAGTTATAAAATTACCATTTACAGAAATAGCCAGAAACTCTGAAATAGGAAGACGACTTTAAAGTGTTTTTGATTTTGCCACAAAGAACATAGTTTAACTAGAAACTTATTAAATCACTGGTTAAGTGAAATGGATCTGTTTACACTGCACAATTGCATTGTGCTTTATGCTCGTTGGACTATTTAAATTCATAACTTGAGTCTAAAAGTCCTATTTTAGAGTTTTCTGGTAATCACTGTAAAAGAGGGTTTAAAAATAAACTGATAAAGTTTCCCTTCTGTCAGGAATTATATAGTTAAATTCTCCCTAGAAGGGAATGATTCATTTGTTGTACCGTCCCGCTTAACCTTCCGTAGTCTGTGTGTACTGTACCGTCCCACTTAACCTTCCGTAGTCTGTGTGTGTGTACTGTATATATAGTGTACACAAAAGAAATGAGTTTTTGCCACAAACTGCTAGTTTTAAATCCCTAAATCTGTTTAACCCGATGTCGTGGACCTTTCGATATTTTTAACTTTGAGTTTTGTTAGAACAAATAGTCTAAGTTTGAAAAATTAAAGGTTAACACCACCAGGATGCACAGATATAGGGATTAGAAAATTTGAGTTGTGGCGAAAACTGCCTATAAGTCGTGATAGTTTACAGTATATTCTATATATCTTGAGCTCTTGGTTTGATCTTGATTGTCTACACCCTTAATACGGTTCCTTGAGAGAATGATTCCTTCATGAAACTCTAATTTTCGTATCCAAGATTATTCATAACCTGATGTAACAATTTCTTATACCTTTGATTTTTTAATTTATCAACTTTATAGCAATATAAAATCTGTAGTCAAAACTATAAAATATTTACGGTTTAAACCATCAGGTTGCCAAGATATTGGAATACGAACATTAGAGTTTCAATCGAGGTGTCAGTCACAGTCTAGGTATAAAGCTAAGCATGAAACTGTGAAATGTCGAAAAATCCTAAAAGTAAACCCATCATACATAGCATATTCATTGTACAGTGTACACTGTCCTTATCAACATAGATCCAGCACTATAGTTTCAGTTGAAGTACATATCTCCATATAGTGTAAAGCACCGATACAAGGATTTATCTCTGATTGGATAATGAGATAGATAGAAAGATAGATGCTTCCGCTATGTAATGTATATTGGTTCAGAATGGACACTAAACACATGACTGAACCCTGATTCGATCCGGCACTAATGGACTCGGCATACAGGAGTGGGCCAGGCTGCTATGAAAAGTTGCAACTATTTTCAAGATTGGGTCTAATTTACAGTGTCGCATTGCCATGGACGTTAATTTTACAACTTACACTTTTTGGTAGCCCTAGAAATGTACATTTTATAACTATCAAGCGCTTGTTTTTAGCTATATCGTATATTCTCATATATTTGAGAGCTTGCAACCTTTGCTTGACATAAACATTTTTTTAACTAATTTCTCACACTTATCCTTTATTAGACAAGCCGCTGCTCTTCAAGAAACAGTTGATGCTTGCAAGGCTGAGCTGGATAATACAAGGAATACAGGAGAACAGGTAATTCATTTTTATCTCTTTTTTTATAAAATCGTTGACAGTAGACAAGATGTGGACTTTCCCTACAGTATTGATTCCATGCAACTGTAATTTTTTCTTTTTTTGCCAAAGTATTTGAAAAACTATATGAATAAATTCTAGTCAGAATTAAGACAAACTTTAACCTTAAGATCGATTTATCTAAATAGTTAAAGTTTAAGTTGAAATCTAAAAAGTTTTCTGCAATACAACTTTTTAAATATTTTGAAGACATTTTTTATCACCCTTTAAGATAAAATCTAGACAATTTACGATGTCGCAAAATCGGTTCAGTTTCACCTCAAAAATATAGAGTGAAAGTAAACAACTGAGCTTAAAAATATCTTTGAGGGAATTGAGTTCTTGCAACAAACTCTGCTTTTTTATTCCCTTAATCTTTGCAACCAACTGTTGGAGACTTTTGATGAATCAAACTTCTGTTTGATCAAATATCATACCTTGACTTCATCAAACTTCTGTTTGATCAAATATCATACCTTGACTTCATCAAGATATGGGGATTAGAAAAATTGAGTTTGTCCCAAAACTTAGTTCCTGTTCCAGGGTGGAGACGACCTTCGCCAGCATACCTGGGAACTTGAAGAACAGCTTGCCCGCCTGCTGCCGGTCATTGGGCTGGTGGATAACATGGTCAAACTGGGCACTCTCTACAGAGGGAACAACAACAACAAGACCAGTGTTAGTAACATCAACAAGAACAGTGTTAGTAACATCAACAAAACCCAGGTAAAAATATTTTTTTATGCGAAGCAGATGAATGCAAAATTTGCGAAAATCCACATCGTTTTCGCTTCTTCCACAAAATTAATTTTCCCGATAAAATGCGAAATTTCGCGAAAAAGTTTGCGAAATACAAAAGAAAATTTTCGCGTAAGTTTTCGTATTTTTGTGCATGATTTTTTATTTAGAGAACGTTTTCGTCTATGGTAAATTGTTTTTTCCTTAAGCATTTTATAAGCTTTAAACTTGTTTTTTAAAATGAGAACTAGCAGCATGTAAAAATCAAAAATTAATTCCTATCGCCGCACTAAAATTTAGTTATATATGTATTTAAGATGAACTATTAAACACTTTTCTAAAGAAATTGTTGTCTTCTTTATTATCATTTTCATGTATTATAATTCTTACTTTAACATGTTACTTTCTCTGTAACCATGTGTTACATTACATTTCGGAGATTTTCGGTGGATTTCAAAATGTTTGGCATTTCCTAAAATTACTTGTTATCATGTGTAATGTATAATTTATCTAATCCAGGAGTTTCTGGAATCTAGGGCTGAGAGAGCTCAGGCTCCGAGATATCCTGACCCTACCAGCTCTACTCGGTACCCTGAGAAGGTTTCATCCTACCAAGAGCCAAGGAAGGAGCTAGATCCTCGCTATAATCAGCAAAGGATGGATCAGGTTCCACTGAGACCTGATATTGATCCGAACAGACGAGTTGGAAACCTTGAGATAGAACTAGAACATGTTCAAGCTCAACTTGGAGATAGCTTAAAGGTTAGATATGTGAATTATTCAAAAAAGAAAAAAAACGAACTGAAACATTCGGGACCAGATGTTGTAAACCTTTGATATATCTTACTTTTTTTTATAACAGAATAATGGTTTGAAATATCTACGACTTCAGATTGCAAAGATATATGTATCACTTTCCACTAAACGCTAATGTACCGCAGATTACTGTAGTACCGCCGAAAGCTTAGTTGAGAGTGGTATATATTTGAACAACAGAGTTTGTGGCAAGTGTTCAGTTCCTTTCACGGCATTTTACCATTGCTTTTAAAGCAGAACTAATAATTTGACAAACAATCTTGGTGTTAAACTTTAAAGGTTGTGTGCAACAAGGAATTTATCCGGAATTTCTATAGCTTTGTTTACTATAAACAGAGTGTACTGCAAATAAATATTAGCTTCCAGCCTTGTTTTCTTACATTTACGGTTTTAGGCCACTATAAATGTGGAAGTCTCTTCCTTCATGAGTAACCCTATATTGTCTTTGATACGATTTTTGAATTGCATTTGCTTTTCGTACAAAACATTGAATTAACTTCTTTTGATTGACTTCTTGTCTTTACATAGCATATTTTTTTTTATTATAATTTTATTGACTTCTTTTCTATTAGTGTGTTTGCTCTGCGACAAATATAAATTGAATTGATCAAATGAATGCAGAGAAAACTCGGTTTCTTGGTTTGGTTGAAAAAAGACAATATGATAAAATTCTATTTTTTCCTGAAATCAAAATATTTCAGCGACTGGAAGCCAATGGCAATGAACTTGCGCATTTCGAGCGAGATATTTTCAACCTTCGGCAGCATCTTCAAGCCTCAGTGGAGAGGAATAGAGGTCGAGGTGCGGCTTCAAGAGAAACCCTGGAGGTGGAAGGACACCTGAGAACAATACAAGCCAGGGCTATGGAGCTTGAGAGAAAAAGAGGAGATATTATCAAAAATATAAATCATCTTAAAGGTAACATTTTATTATCAAATGCGAATTAAATAGTTTTAGTGGATTGACAGTTGTCTTCTTTATCAATTTGTATTATGAAAATTTATGTAATGCAATTTGAACATTTTTAAAATCATGTCAGCTTTAAAATTACAAATTGAACCATCTCAGCGACTTTTCTTAAAAAAGAGAATTAATGAAATGTATATCAATAATCATCCAGAAAAGGGTCTAACTTTTTTTGTAACTTTTGTAAGGTCTTAAAAAATTACCATTTAGCAAAATTTTTATTTTAGTAAAGGAAATAAGTCTAAGTCACAAACTCAGATTTTCTAATCCCTAATATCTCTGCAACTTGATGGTGCAAAATTTGACATTTGAAACTTAGATTATTTAATATTACAGAATTTTAAGTTTGAAATATCTAAGGTCTACGGCACTGGGTTGCAAAGATATAGGGATTACAATATTTGAGTTTGTGGCAAAGACTTAATTCCTTTATAAATCATTTTTCAGGAAAAGAGAATTATCTTTCGTCTGAGATCCGACCCTCTCCTACAGGCGTAGCTGGAGCCGAACCTGTTCCTTCTAAAAAACGTGGATTTGACACGTGGCTTGAAACTGATATTGACAATAATAAAACTAGGGACAGGGGGCCTGATACAGAACTTCAGTTGGTTCAAGAGAAAAAGGTAAACTAGAAAAATGAGGAAATATTTACAAAAAATTAACTAGATTAGAAAACTAAAGAAAAATGCAAAACAAATCTAATAATTCAACTTAAGTCAAAACAGATAAAAAACACTATATATTATTATTTTGATGTAAACATTGTGTTAAGGCGAACCAGAAGAATAACAACCCTGCCCAGCCTGTCTACATAAATACATGGGAGGAGGAACAACATAATTATGAAAACTATCATATTGCGGCAGAGCGCAATCCTTACGAAGACGACGTTCAAACAGTTCACAGTGAAGGAGTTAGGAGTGAGTATGATCCTCCTCCTCTACCTGACCGACCTGGCCAGGATGAGGTCATCCTCGGCCTCGGAGAGCTGAGCGAGGCTGACGAGAGAGTCCAGAGGTTCTATGGTATTATCCCCAAGGAGAAGCCTATTGAGATCAAGACAGTGCGCATGGTAAAGCGTGATAACAAGGAGAGGTTGAGTAAAGGACGGAGAGGAGATGATGATTCCGAATCCATTGAACTGAGTCTAGATGAAGAGGAACCCCCGCCTCCTCTACCCAGAGGAAACTACCAGAACCAGCACAGTTTCCTGAGCAACCAGCCCAACTCTATCTTCTGCTCTGAGGCGGAGCAGGCGGAGTACGACAGTGGAGTCAAGCCTCAGTTTAAACTCGGAGAGTATTACCGGAGGCAGGAATCTGTTTCTCGTCCCGGAAGTTCGTTATCGGCACACGAACGGTTGTTCGGCACAAATCGTGACGAATCTATTTCGCCCGAGATGTCCCCAGCCAAGTCAAGTCTAGCAAGCACAGATAGCGCGCAGTCAGCCCTCATGTCACCGGTGTTTAAATCCGCTGCTGCGCGCGCAATCATAGAAGAAGAGCGCAAAACTCCGATGATAATCCCGAAGGCAAAAAAGAAAAACAAAAAACGCCATTTAACAATCACCAGCAGCCATCCGGCAGCTGTTTTAGAGGCCATTAGTCGGCACGAGGCCGACCAACGAACTGCGAGGTCACGTGACGATCTTGATATTGAACGGATGTTGAAGCCACGTGATGCACCGGATATTGTTCGGTCAACCTACGGTCAGGAGAATGACTTACGGGAGGATAATATTGATAATCTGTTCGGAGCTCCAAACAAGATTAAAATACCAGAGAGATATGTACCTGAAAGGGTAAGGTTTTAAGATTTTTAAAGAATACTAGGCTTTTAGGGCACTTCGCGCCCATCTCAATTGAACATTTTCTTGTTGTATACATTGTAAAACAAACACAAAAAAGTTCGCGGATTTTATCAAAAAAATTGTGGATTTTTTAATTTAATAAAAATCCAACTTTGTTGGAGGCTGATTTATGAACTTTTGATCATCCATAAACCTTCCTTGGAGTCATGTGAGGTCCCACACAAAATTTGGTTTAGCTGGTTTAACGTTTATTGAATACGAACAAATAGACAGTCAAGCAAAGTAATTTGTATATATTGAATTTTGAAATATGGTATTGTGTATGGATCAAATCAAATGAAATTATTAGGCTTTTATATGATTTTGATCTTTATAAAAACATAAAAACAATCTATTGTTTGGTTTAAAAGGCTAAGTAATATTTTTCCTGAAGTAATGACAAAAGAACAGAATACTCTCTTCAAACTCAAATTTTTCGAATTCCTTTCTTCCTTTAATTTTATACAAAGTAACCTTGTATTTTTCAAGTTATGAAATCATGTTAAAAAAGAGAGTTTAACGCCAATCTTTGTTGAACCGAAACCTTTTTAAATTGGTTCAAATAATGACATTTTTTAATTATTTTAAACTTTTTTCTGAATTTTTTAAAAACATTATTTTTGCAGGAAAATAATGAACCTACAGCTGAAGAGAGAAGAACAAGATTAAAGAAAGCTGATTCTATTAGACGAATGTTGGTTGATACAACCTCCTCTAATCCAATACAAAAACGTAGGTTTAAAGTCCACTCTTGATTTTAAATTTATGATACAGGAAATTCTTTAATGTTTTTTGAGTCTTTAAATTCTCAAAATAAAAATATCTTTTTTTCTGAATCATTTAACAAAATGGAACTTTTATTAAACTAAAAAAATCTGTAACTTTTCTGCAGTTCATGCCCCCTCCTCCCCCTTCAGTGCTTGTTAAATATTACTTTTTTTTATTCAAAATGAAATATATGGTTCAGATGATAAATGTTAAACTTAGTTATTTTGTAACAGAAACTTGCAAATAGATCCAGACTGCCATGACAAGTTTCAAGACTGGCTTGCCTTCACAAAACTAGTTTACTTATATTTTTTGTAGCCCTGTTAATAGACAGTTGGCTGTACTGTAAACTTACAACTGTTTACTAATATTGATATACTGTAGGTTAGGCCAGAATCAAATAATAATAAACAAATATGCAGTACGCTCTCGGTATAGTTTATGGCCTATACAATTGGATTAGCGTGCATCATCACTCTATACATTATAACCTCGTTGGCAAAATTCTAATCGATTTTTGCTCAAAGAGAATAGAATATATATTAGAGTGGAATTTACTAGAAAAAAGTGTAAAACGGCCATTTTTTTGTACTGTTTTCATACTGCCTAGGTGTACTTCACATATTTATGCTATATAACCTTTTGGGCCCTGGAATATTATTTTATAGAAAATCTAAAATTAATGTTAAAAGAAAATCAAATTATGAAATAGGCTGGTTTCATAATTGACCAATGATCATTTCACATAGACTCTATGCCTTTCACTTTACAAACGATGATTTTCCGTTATAACTATAAATCAAATGATGTTTTTTATTCATCTAATTCATTATAAAGTTTATTTAACAGCTTTAAAAAATTCGAAATTGATATGATAGTCTAGGGAACATCATACTGTATTAATGTACTCTACTGCATATAATTTGTGAACATTTACATGATTTGTACACTTTGAACTCCTTTTCAGGCTGAAAGGAACTGAAAAAATTCATACAGAGAGATTTTCTAAATTCCCCTCTAATATATATTCTATTCTCTATGTTTTTGCTAGAAATTTCGCAATCTTTGGGTCATTGTGCAAAATCTACACAACCTGATTTGATTTTTCAAATTACGGTGGTAGGCGATTATATCATTATAATGAAGACGACTTTCGATTTAAATTTAAATTTGTATTAGGCTTTTAAACAGCATGTATGCACAAAAAAATGGAAATAAAGATAAGATTCTCTTTAATTACCACAAACTTGCTATTCGAAAAAAGCTTGTTAACAATAAGAACAAAAAGATCGTCTTCATTATATTGATATTATCGCCTACCACCCCATGAATTCTGTTAGATTGAATGGTAAGCACCATCGAGTTGCTAAGTTTAAAAAATTTGAGTTTGTGTTATGCAAGACTGGCTTCGAGGAACCTTTTTCGTGGAAGGAAAACACCTATTTGTCCTTTCTCAGAAGGTTTTATTAACAGGGTTTTCTTTCCAATGTTTTTACAAATTCTTAAAAGTGGAAAAAATGTGGCAATAGTTGAATCATAATTCTGCTTTAAATTCAAATCTTTATAGTAATGACTCTCTTATCTCTCAACATACAGGGTAGCATAATATGTTCAAAAGTATCAAAAAAAATTCATTATTGAATTTTAATTTTAGTCTTATGATGATCGTGTGTCTAAACTGAATAATTGTATTCTATTAAATTTCGAATCAGAAAAAGAAAAAGATTTTAACAACATTGTATTTAGCCCCTGGCTTAAACTGATTAGGCTCATAAATATTTTACCTAGTACGTTTTATCACAGTCGTAAGTCAACAGCTGTTCAAGATAAAGAATGATACGTTAAAAAGATATAAATTTAATAAGTTATAAAATGTTGAAGCTTCTGGTTCTAGTTCTTTTGTTCTTCAAATAATGGGGATAATATGATTTGTGAGGAAACACCTGACGAAGAAAAAGATATAGATGTAAGTTTGTATAATTACGGGGTGTTCCTGCACTAAACACTAGAGACAGGGGTGTTCCAACTTCCACTAAACACGAGAGACAGGGGTGTTCCAACTTCAACTAAACACGTGAGACAAGGGTGTTCCAACTCCCACTAAACATGAGAGACACCTTTAAGAGTAATTTCAAGTGAACCTCTATTGCGTAATGTCCATTTCTACTGCAGGAAAGCAAATTGGAATTAACAGAATTAAACACTTTTAAAAAAAGATAATATTTTTAACATTTTTATCAGACAGAGGTCTGAATCTGACATTACAATCTTTGCAAGGCTTGGTTCACTTGAAAATGCGCTTAATCAGACTGTAAGCGTGTATTTTCATGTGAACCTTAACTAGCCTTATAACAAGCATATTTATTTATTCATCTATTGTGAAAATTAGTCTGAAATCATTGTATTTAATATTTTAAGAAAAGATAAGGTTTGACATATGACTCAACTAAATAATAAATACATTTAGATTGCGGAAACAAAAATAATTAATGCATAAGTATACAATTACCAAGTTCTGTGTATAAATTACAGTGTATCCCGATATAAACATTGCAATTAAAAGACGCAATTTATTAATCGTTATCGATTTTCAAAATGTATTTATGACATTATGTACAGCTTAGCCAAGAACTTCGAAGGCATCGAAAGAATTTATAAAATGTCGTCTTTTACACATTTACTGATGAAATACTGCAGGTATATAGTTTTCTAGTTGAATAATTATATGGAGCTCTTTAATACTGTTCCCGCATATTTTATTGTTATTTTTTACAATTAACGAGATTTAAGGATAATAGTAGAAAACCCATTGAAAATTGGCCAAGACGACATTTAAATTTTTGTTCTTGATTTCTCCTAAAATTCTTAATATCTCAATCATTTTTTAAAGATTCATAACATGCACATTCATTACATTTTGGAACTCACACAAATCAGAAAAAGAAATTAAGTCTTTGCACCACACTCAAATTTGCCAATCCCTATATCTATTGAGCCTGATGGTGTAAATCTTAAATATTTCAAACTTAGATTATAAGATCTAGCAGAATTAATAGTTTGAAATATCAAAGGTTTACAACATTTGGTTGAAAAGATATAGAAGTTAGAAAATCAGAGGTTTGTAGCAAAGACTCAATTTCATTTTATGAGGCTTGATGGACTAACCAGGACTAGATGCATTCGATATCTTCAAATTGAATTTAATCTCGATCTATAAATCGACAATCAGGCGCGTATACAGGATTTGGTCAGTAAATTAACAATCTTAAACATTTTTTAGTTGTGTTTTTACTTTTTCGTCTAAAGTGCATCCGCCGCCGACATAAAAGTATAGAAAGTTTCTTTGTTTGGCAAAATTGTGACCGTAAGTCACAGCTAGCGGGGAAAAGGACTGAACCATTAAATCTGCGTGGATGGACGCCCTGTTGAGATCTTTTTTGATTGAAAGATAGTCTTAATTCATATAGTTGTATAGTTGCGTATTTTCCACTGAAATCTATTCTTTTGTGATGTAAAACACAGTTTTTTAATCACCTTTTTTTAAGTGTCCTGAGGAAAAAACGCATTGCTACGTGATGAAACAAAAACTGAAGACCTCGGGAGATATTATAACCTGGAACAGTAAGTAAAAATATCATTCAATTTTTCACTTTTAAAAAATAAATTTATGAACTTTAATATATAGCTTAAACTTTTACAGTTAATGTATCTATTTTGTTTGTCTGGGTGTGTGTTTGTATCCAATCAAAGTCAAAACGGCTGAACCGATCGGGTCCATTTTTTTGTGGCAACTCAAATAAAAAGTTCCTGCAAGGAAATTTGCAGATTGTTATTTTAAAAAAGCACTAATTCAAATTAATAATTTCCTCAAAAAATGTTGGTATTGCAGCATCCATCAACCAAGACAATAATACGTAAATGAGCTGTGTTCTATATTTCATGGGTTCTCGAATTCTAACATTGAAGAAAGTGAAGTCAACGTCGATTAAGTGAGAACCAGAAAACAATGGAATATGAAGACGACATTAAAGCAACACTTAAGTGTTTTTGATGTTGTTACAAAGCAAATGGTGATAGTAAACACTAATAAATCACTGATTTTGTGAACTGGGTATGTGTACATTGCACAATTGCTGTGTCTCATGCGAATTGGACTTTTAAAGTTATAACTTGAGTCTTAAAGTCGTCTTTCTATTGCAAAGTTTTCTGGTTATCACTGTATAAAAAATGTTAAATTTAAATTTTGAATTTAATTTAGGAAGCTGCTGTACACCTAAAGATGACGCCCCTGACTGTCCACTCAACAAGCCCCCCCATATTGTAATTATTTTTATTTCGTCTTTCATATTTTTAATGTCGTTTTTCATATTTTTAATGTCGTCTTTCATATCTTTAATGTCGTTTTTCATAATTTTAACGCGCATACAATATACAAACAAATATGATTATGATTTAGCGATTTCAAATGCACATCTAATTTTGACTAAGCAGAAATATCATTTTTTCTCTTTGTACGTTTTAAAGCTTTCTTTAATAGTCTAAATTGTGGTTTAAAATGGCCCAAATGTTTTTCTAGGTTGATTTGAAAAAAGGCATTCTTACACTTTTAAAGGTTGCATAAACGATTAAAATGTTTTCTTTTAAAACCTTTCCTAAAAATGTAAACATTGAAGTGAAAAATCAGGTAAAAATTAAGACAGATTTCTCAATATATATATTCTGAGACAGCACTTTTTCAGCACTTTATACAGTGCAGTATTGTGCAGAAAACATTTACACTGTACAGAACTATTCACTGCAGTACTGTACAGATACATTTACATAACTATTCTCTGCAGAACTGTTCAGAATATATGTGCATTGTGCAACATTGTTCACTGGATACATGTAGTATATACAATATTGTGAACCATACCCCTAAAATTACCCTATTGTAATGTCGTCTCTGACAAACTGTACCTCCGTTATATCCTCCGTGACCCGTCCACTTACCAAACCAAACATTGCCAAGGATTTTGCGTAAATATAAACGATAACCTCATGGAGCTAATAAAACTTAAAGTGCATTAAAAGAACCCATTTAAACATAATTTTCAGTGAATCATTTACAAACAAACAGTGAAATTATTTAACCAGACAAATATTTATTTTCAGAAGAATTAAATTGCTTTAGACTTCAGTTCAAACAACTTTTCGCCGTGCCACAGTTTTCTAGATTGTTCCCTGGGGTCCCNACGAACTTTTTAAAAAACGATCGTTTTTAAAAACGATCGTTTCGTTTTCGACGAAACGATCGTTTTTCTGAAAAATGAAAACGTTAACATCCCTAGTTCATGAACAGCACTATTCACTACAGTACTGTACAGGATACAAGTACATCAATATTCACTAAAGTACTGTACTGGATACATGTACAGCACTTTTTACTACAGTACTGTACAGGATACATGTACAGCACTAGTCACTGTAGTATTGTACAGGATACATGTACAGTAATATTCACTGCAGTACTATAAAATATATATGTACAGCACTATTCACTGAAGTTGTGTACAGGAAACATGTACAGTACTAATCACTGCAGTACTGTACAGGATTAATGTATAGAACTATTCACTGCAGTAATGTGTACTATTCACTGTAGTTATGTACAGGATAACGAGTACTACGAGGTGTGGAGAGCAACATGTAAAAATGATAGATGTAATATCATGGATCCAAGGTACAGTACAACAGTACAACATAGACCATTTACAACAGGATTTAGAATAAACGTTTAGATTTCTATAATGTTTCTAACAAAATTTATATAATTTTCACAACTATTTTTTTGGCAATAAAATGATTCTGATGTTTTTAACCTTTCGGACAATTTAAAAAAAAATAATTTGGTATTTTTTATTTTCATATTTTTACAAATTACAATTTTTAAGCGACTAATAATTGATAGATACATGTCTTTAATGCAGATAATCATGTTTCCCAATATTCTTCTTTTCTGCCAACTCTGTCCAATTTATTTAGCTATGTTGCATTATCTGCATACCCAATCTTTCGAACTATAGCATTATAATTTCAACAATTGTAAGTGTTTTCTATAATTACATATTTTTTTTCAATCTTAATGAAGTGTTGACTTTCCCCCCCCCCCCTCGCTTAGTTTAACGGATGAGTATGGCGGAGGATCTATATCTGTATTGTTATAGTTTAACGGAAGAAGATGGCGGAGGATCTATATCTGTATTGTTATAGTTTATCGGAAGAAGATGGCGGAGGATCTATATCTGTATTGTTATAGTTTATCGGAAGAAGATGGCGGAGGATCTATATCCGTATCAGGGAAAAATAAGGGAGCAAGAACAGTGTCAGGTACAGACCATGTTGATTGACAAGAAAATCAAAGACGACTTTTCGATGTTAGTGTCAAGAAAGATTTTTAATTGATCTTACTTTTCTAAACCCAACTGTGAAGTAAGTTGCTAACTTGTATATGTGATGGAAGGGGGGGGGGCAAAGGAAGTATTGTCTATTTCAAGTTTTATTTCTACCAACTTTCAAACAGCAGCTACACATAAACATGTAAACAAAGAGAAGTTGTAAATTAATCTTTGTTTACATGTAACTTGCTAATTGAAAAACACTTGTCAGGGAAAACAGCATTATTAATAAAATTTCTGTTTACACCTTTGGTTGAAATTAAAAACCAACTTATTCTTTCTATTTTCAGGCCTAGTTGGTTTGGTGATGATTTTCGTATCTTTAGCTTTCTATATATAAAATATTTTCAAATAAAAAAATGTGTCTTATGGACATCAATTTAGGTTAATTACAGTTTTTTTTTGCTAATTCACCTTTTAGATATAAAACAGATAATGTGAGAGTTTAAAGAAATAAATTTTTTATTGCATTTTTCAATTATAATCATTAGAAATTATTTCTTGGTTGCAACTTTGCAATTAGAGATGGACATCGTTATCGTTAACGAACGAATTTTTTTTCTGAACGATCGTTAACGATAGTACAGGGTGTCCCAATAAACATGGGAATTCAGTGACGAATTCGATATCGTCTTTTTAAATAATTCTTTGATTTAGTATAGTGATACCTACTGAGAAAGCTGTAATCTGTAAGAGTTTCGTCTGCTATGTTCACATTTTGTTTGTTTATGATTTGACTGCATAAGGTTGTACTTAGTAAAACAAGAAAATTGCAGTATACAAACAGAGTAAACTTGTCCGTCTTCGCTGTTCATCTTGCGGAGACATTATAGATAGACACATCTTTACAGTCTTTTACCCTTTTCATAAAATACACTCTAGCAGACATAATAATATTATGGCTTTTAAAATTAGGTATTACAATGCTAATTCATAACAAAGACGATATCGAATTCGTCACTGAATTCCCATGTTTTTTGGGACACTCTGTATAAACATGAATGAACGATGAACAAACCAAGGGGATTGTTCAGAGAAATAAAAAAACATGTTTTTTTCTGTACGAACATAAAAAACATTGATTTTAAATCCTTCGCAATTTTTTAAAGTCAAATCTTAAGCGAACGATTTCTAAATTGTTCGCTCATGGCGCTCAAATCAATCAGAATTTTTCCAAATAGCTAAAAACAATTTACAGTTTTGAAATTTTTGTATTGAAGGCTAAATTTGCAATATAGCTGAAAAGGATCGGATTGGTAAGAATCAATGTTAACTTCTGGAAGAAAGTCAATTCGGTCTCAGAAATACTTACTTACACCTTTCTTCCCACTTGTCATTTTTCATATTCCAACATAGTTAACACCCCTCCTACACCCTCCCGCCAGTTATACAGAACAAAGATCGGGATAGGGTTAAAAAAGTAATCTTTTTGTTTTCAAACAAAGATGCAAGATTTAATATTTTTATAAACAATACGATGGTATAATTTACAGAAATTACGAGTAAATTATATTTGGATTGATAAAAGGAATTTCAAGGGGTGTCTCTCAAAATTATGTCTCGCCAGCTTTTTTTTTAAAGAAACATAATAACTAAATATGATTAAAATATCTCCATTTTTAATTATATATTGCTAAACCCCTATATGTGTTTAAAGTAATTTGCGCCTGGGGAATTTGTGTGGGAAATATTTCTCAGTGTTTTAGTAAGAATTATCTAAAATTGAATTATTTGTCGAATGTGTAATAAAAATCATCTCCAGGCGATGGAACTAATTAAGTTTTGAGAAGATTAACAGTTATCGCTTGTTTACTAATTCTAATCAAAGTTGATGTTGAAAATATGAAAAATAGAAAATATTCATTAATATAAGACCAAAAGTGGGGTTTAAAGTAGGTGCATACCATTAAGCGTCTAGCTTTATAAACTGTATGGCAAATCAAATTCAATCGTCTTATCGTCATTATTAAAGGGACCGTTCACTTATTTGGGTAATTTCAGGGTAAACTAAACAGCCTATTCGCTGTTGATTGGTAATAGCCTTACTTTTTAAAGACAACTGTGGCCGGAGAAAAAGGCGATTTTTCGTTCAGAATTTGAGAGGAAAGGGACGGTCCCTTTCTATAGACACTATTTGATGTTTTTTCAGTAACAGCAGCCCAATGAAATTTAAATTTATTATATTTTAATGTCATTATGTGTTCGTTATTATGTACTAAGATATAAAAACTTTTGATATTTGTGTTAGCAAAATATTTACGTTTTTCGTATTAAAACATGTAAAATGTGTATACAAAGACGACGTTCTCTACGACAATCAATCTCCCCCCCCCCCATTCAAAGCCCGAATTCCCGACTTTTAATCTTTATTAACCATCATTGATCTCTTTAAAGAAATCTTTGAAGTCAAGGGTGTTTGAACGAATTTAACAAATGTTGAACGAAGACCAAACTAGTAGTTATATCATGCTTATCTACGGGCGAAAATATCATAAAGGATGTGCTCAGCTTATGAAACTTTTATATGGAAATGATCGTGCTAATTGGGGGGAAAGTTGCCCATATCTGACACCAATGAGATTGAACCGTCGGGAAGAAATAAATGATTCAAAAGTTTGCCCCTCTGTGTGAATATCTAACTGTATTCTGCCTGATATAGATGATAGTGTCATCATTCTATTGTTCTAAAGGTCCTCGCCCTACCTTTGCTTATACAATAAAGATATGGTGTCCTAAACCATATTCATTCAACGAAATATCAACTGACCGAAATCGTTTCGAAATTTTTTACTTTTTGTGAAAAAGGTTTTAATGTAAAAATTTGAGATTATGTCCACCTTGTTATGAGAGATAAATATTTTCCAAATGTTCATAACTTTCAAATGGTTACGGTTTTTCAATATTACGAAAAAAATGTTAGTGTTTTTTTCATAAATGAAATAAAATGCACGAGGATTCGGCAAAAAATCAAAAAAAAATTTTTTTTCAAAGTTGGAACGTGCCAGCCCGAAATTTACACATCACTATTTGATACCTTAAAATGTGAATTTACAAAATAAAAAGTGCGGCAGACCTGAAAACATTTGATTACTTAATCTAAGTTGGTCAATATTGTGTAAAGTTTAACCGACCAACATTTAGAAAAAATGTTCAAATAATGATCTTGTTATTTAAACTGCATTCGTTACAAATACCAACATTTGGCAAAAATAATAATTAATATCCAGATACTTCGCACATCACGAAACCTCTTTTGATTCTACGGATTTCAAATATCAAATACTACAGTAAAAACCAGAAAACAATGGAATATAAAGACGACATCATATTCAAAACTTAAGTGTATTTGATGTTGTTAAAATAGTTTTACCAGAAACGTTTTATATCACATAATAAGTGAAATGGGTCTGTTTGTGGCAAATACAGAAAATCATGTATTGCGATTTTGATATTGAAGGCCTACATTAATCTGTTCACGCTGTATTAACCTGGAGAATGGAGGTTTTTACCTTGCTAGATATAGATTTTGCTACTGGCAGCTTTAAATATACTCCTTAATAACAAGCCTGGTTAGCTGTAAATATACTCTTTAATAACAAGCCTGGTTAGCTGTAAATATACTCCTTAATAACAAGCCTGGTTAGCTGTAAATATACTCCTTAATAACAAGCCTGGTTAGCTGTAAATATACTTCTTAATAACAAGCCTGGTTGGCTGTAAATATACTCCTTAATAACAAGCCTGGTTAGCTGTAAATAAGTATCCGAACTCGTCGGAAAGACGTTAATTCTTTCAATTGATTCTGGTTCTATGTTTAAGCATCAAGGGAGCTCAGAACCATCAGGTTCTTATACAACTCTCTCCAGTTTCTTGTGGCTGAACAGAACCCTGTGTGGAATAACATGGCGGTACACCCTACTTGAAAAAAAAGATAATATTAGCGTAGAAAAGGAGGGGTTTCTTTCTCTCTCTCTTCCCCCTCCCTCTTGCCAGAGACAAGGGAAATGGAAACATATAAAGTAGAATCCTAATAGGTTGTGTGTGCACCATGCACTATATGACACCGGTTTATACTCTGCTGGCTACGAGGAAAAGATAGCTGTGGATAAGGCAGTATTCTGAAGCACTGTCCATAATGAACTTACAAGAATCAAGAATTCTTTTGTTGAAAATATCCACTCCTTGCTTTACATTTCTTATCACATTTGTCATTATTAAGGCGGAATTCTGACAATTTACATCCACAGAATTTTCAAACCCGGCTTAGCAGTGACTTTTATTTATTCAACCTGTAAGAATATATAAAAATGTCTCCCGAGCTTTCCATGTTAGTTAATCATAAGCGCTGAGAAAGCTTAATCCTGAAATGCTTATTCAGACCATACATAAACAAGAGGGAAATACAGATAATCAGAAATAGGCATTTTTCCCTTGTCTACAAAAGACTAGAGTTCGTAGATCTAAAAGAGAAGAACAGAAAACAGATGTATGATCAGATTAAAAAGAAGATACAACAGTCAGAGAAAACAAAATTCATTGCTCTTTTTAAATTTTGTTAAAAAAATTTAATTGTAAAATAAACTGTTAAAAAGATGTGCCTTATGCTCATTGGTCTTTTTAAAGTAATAACTTGAATCTTAAATCGTCTTCAGAGTTTCTCTGGGTATTCTGAAGTTGTCTCCCTATTTCAGAGTTTTCTGGGTATTCTGAAGTCGTCTTCCTATTTCAGAGTTTCTTGGGTATTCTGAAGTTGTCTTCCTATTTCAGAGTTTCTTGAGTATTCTGAAGTCGTCTTCCTTTTTTCAGAGTTTTCTGGGTTTTCTGAAGTCGTCTTCCTATTTCAGAGTTTTCTGAATATTCTGATGTTGTCTTCCAATTTCAGAGTTTTCTGGGTATTCTGAATTCGTCTTCCTATTTCTGAGTTTTCTGGGTTTTCTGAAGTCGTCTTCCTATTTCAGAGTTTTCTGAATATTCTGAAGTTGTCTTCCAATTTCAGAGTTTTCTGGGTATTCTGAATTCGTCTTCCTATTTCAGAGTTTTCTGGGTATACTGAAGTCGTCTTCCTATTTCTGAGTTTTCTGGGTATACTGAAGTCGTCTTCCTATTTCTGAGTTTTCTGGGTATACTGAAGTCGTCTTCCTATTTCTGAGTTTTCTGGGTATACTGGGGATCTAGAATGAAATATTTGCATAAACCTAAACCATGGGTGCAATTGATTGATCTAGAAACTCCCTAGGATTTACATCTGGCTTGTATCTGAAAACAATAATCATTATTACAATATGCAGCTCGGAAAATATTTCGTTATTTAACATCAGTTGTTTACGTGGTTGTGTACTAACTTTGATGTGGCTTTAACAAGATTTTAAATCCCTTGTTTAACGAATCTCATTAATTCTGCTTTATTTTAGTGTAAAGAGAAATTTCTTTCTTTTATTCTTTCATTTTTTCTTTCTTTTTTTCTTTTTTTCTTTCTTT